ACTGTCTGAACGTCATTTTGGCGCTCAATGCATAGCGGTGCTAGGCGATTTTTTTTTTCTGTACTGCAAGGCAAAGCAGGTCAAGTCCAGTGTAGATTATTAGCATCATACACAGCTTAAAAATACTTTGAAGGATGTCTCCTGTAACTTTTCCCAGCGGTTTCTTTTGGTCCAGCATTGACTTAGTCCCCCAGAGCAGACTGTCGTCTGTCGCTTGAGGCTCCAGTTTTCACTACAGATGCACAATTACTAGGTTACACAAATATTATGCTAGGTGTTTCCCCTGCATGCAAACCAAATAGGACATAAAAAAGTCATTGTCACTGCATGAGAATGAATTAAGGAAGTTTGCGGTAGTTGTCTTCTCCAAAATCCTAGGTGGTTGCCACCAATCCTATCTTATGCTCTTGCTTAATAGAAGCTATCTTTGACCGTATGCTTTTGGTTGGTTTGGATTTTCAGAGGGGAACTGGGACATTACCTTCCTGCTGAACCGCAATTTCGGCTTAACTTCCATCAACTCGGACTTCGACTTCCCAATAGCCATCACACCGCCCAAGGATGATCAACTGTACTCTGTGCCGGCGCAGAAGCTATTTCCAGATATGCAGTTGCCAAATGAACCCTTTTTCATTCAGCTGAACTTCCAACCAAACATTTCCTTCAATGACTACTACTTCCTGGCTATTCGCGATCCGGATACAGTCCTGCGCTTTGGTGTCGCGCTCTTGAAGGTCAGTGATCGATAAAGTTTCAACGTAAGGAACCTTCCCATAGGCGAAATGTTCTTGTTCTACTTAGTCAGCAGAACCGTAATATAGGTCCGAGGAATTAAAATTGTGAAGCAACTTTCAGCAGTTTATTCAACTTAATGTCCTGCTGACAGATGGGCGGATTCACCTTCTGTCGGCTACAATAGTCTCCCGTTTACCGACAGTAATAAGTCTAAGCCGGTAGCATTGCCGACTAAGATAAGGGAGACTGGAAGGGCCACTTCTGGTTCATTAGCCAAAGTGGTGCCCCACCCGAGGCTCGAACCCGCAACCTATTGGTCAGAATTCTAACGCTCCAGCAATTGGGGTTGGGTATGACGGACTGATGAGGGCTAATGAGCCAGAAATGGCCATTCCAGTCTCCCTTACCTTTGTCGGCAATGCTATCTGCCTACACTGCTAACCGCTGTGCGGCTTCTCTAGGCCTCGAGAATGAGCCTCAAGGCAGAGCGGGACGAGTTAGTTCCGTTAGCTTTCGGTGAACGTTAATCAACGAGTCGGAATCAAGCTCATGTCCTTGATACCATTTGATTTACTTCCGCCCACGGTCGCATGGGTAAGATAAATCAACAATCACTAGGTGGTAAAGCCGAATTCTAAATATATCTGCAAATCAAAATCAGATGCAACTTCAATCAAGCTATGTTGTTGACGACTGAACTTGCATATTTACGATCGGGTCATTGCTCAGACGACTGAACTCGTCATTTAAACATATATAATATTTGTCTGTTATTTTTTCATGGTTTCCCAGAAGTGGAAATGATGTCCGCGATGGATATTGCAGTTCCCTTGGCCTTTGTCCTTAAGTAGTTTATATTCTACACTGTTCCACGATATGCGAACGCCGTTGAGTAGGCAAGGGGGAATTTCATTGGTATGCAAGTGGTCGAATGCATCCGGACATCCTACCAGTTTGTGAATGTTCAGTCGGAGCAAGCTAAACCCAAATTTTGTTTTCCAAACTCTTGAATAGTTTTCGGACAACATGCATATAGTCAGCGAGTACAGCTGCGCATGCAGCTAAGAACTATTGTCAACCAAGACAGTAGAGGTTAAAATATCGCTTTTTCGCCCAATTGACAACTGATGCAGAATGGTGCAACACTGGTGGGACGTTATCCTCTGGCGACCTCCAACTATGTGATCCCAAACACCGTGCACCACCATTTGATGCAGTTAGTTATTTTGTTCAAAACCAATCTGTTATGTTAACGCAGCTTTCAGTTCCGGAGACATAACGTCGTATAGATAATGTTTCTCCATAGTTGATAACATTCTCCACAACGTAAATAGGCAGTTCTGTGGAATATAATTACAAGCACGTAACTGTTTGCTGTATGTTGAACCAATATTCACCCTAAGGAAAACAGGTTTTGCTTTTGTGGCAACCCTAACTCATTGAAATAACTTCTGAAAACAGCTGCAAAACATCATTTGAATAAATCGCACCGAACCTAAGTTACCAAACTCGAATTTGGATAAAGAAAAGTCAGCATGTATTTTATTTTATATGGATTATCGGCAAATACATTATAAGCTTTATTTCCTTCTCATTACTTCTCAGTTTCCGCAAACTTTTCGTTCAAGTATGAGTCACACAGTAGCAGTGAACTAAAGCTCCCTGTATGGGTGCGTGCCTCTCAATTCTATTCAGTTTAAACTGAAGGACTGTAAATCTGCGCATTTTCCGAAAGACATAAACCGTGTTTAGGAAACGAACAACAACAAAATTCTTTAATTGGGCCAGATGATTAGGCATGGGGCTGATATAATGCAACGAGTTTTGACGGAAAATACAAGGATGTTGTTGTGTTTGCTTTTTATCTGCATTATGCTTTTAGGTCTGTATTTTTGTTGCCATAAGAATGTATTGATGTATTCATTTTTGTTAAAGATGTACAGGCTTATCAGATAGAAATAGCCTCACCTATCGCGGAGACACCTTTTTCTAAAAAAGACAGCCGAAGTCGATTAATTCTCCGACTTATTTTCATAATGATTAAAGCCGTTGAGTTCAAACATAGTTCGCTTTAAACGTCGTCCAATCTACAAAAAAACTTCAGCGTGAAGTTTCATATGCATTGTTTGCAGATGTATACGCACTGGATCGGTAGTAATCAAAGAAGAACCTTAAACGAATGACAGTTACAATCTACTTATAAGAAAGTAGTACATACAAGGTTGATCAATGTGGTGCACGATAGGAATTATTCATTCGTTCGTCACAATCTATGAAGGAATCAGGGTAATTCACGATTTGGCCGATAGTTCCACTTAGCTACTGAGTTGGCTTTTTTCCTCTAAAACGCTGTCTGTACCTTCCGTTTGGGGCTGAAAAATAATCTATAAATGCAATAACCGTCGTGACTTGTAATCCTATTCCTTGAATAACATTATTTCATATATTTTCGTCTAACACAGACAGACAGACAGACAGCTTCCTAACCTAACAGTTATAAACAACCTAATATGTCAAAATTACGCGAAAAAGAGGGTGGAATGAACTAACAGCAAGCACATCTTGTTTCTGTGCGTAAACAAAGCTGTGCAGGTACGCACATAATCCCAGGCTAAAAACTGCCAGTCGCTGACAATGGTGCGACATTGGCGGCGATACGGAACCATAAATCACTACCCCCAATGCGATTGGCGTGCTTGCGTAAAGTTGGTGTATCGTAGGTACGTTTAAGGGTACGCGTGGTCATCGTGGCGTGACTCCAATCCTTTACCCACGCCTCCATTTGCAGACCGCCACACGCTCACTATGAATGATTTAGGCCAGCGAAAAAACATTCCTGTTAGGATTGTAGTGCTGTTTTACCAGTGACGCCCTAGAGCTGCCTTGTTTGCAGAAAAGAATGCAAACTTTTCCCGGACACACCTCCCATTATTCGAATGTCAAATTAAGCAGTATAGGTTAAGCTTTTGTTCCCGTCACTCGAGCTCATTGGGAAGTTGGGTGCTGCTCGGCTTGTGTAATAAGGCACGAATGTGATACAATAGATTTTAATGAATCAACATTCGTTATTTCCTCCAAAGGTTTCCGCGTTATGAGGCATATTCTACAATTTGCTTGTAGAATAGTAACGGAAAGTCCTCAAAGTATATCTAGAAAGCCGCAATTCTGATTAGCGCTCCACACAATCTCAAGATCTTTGATGGACGCTGATAGTAAGCAGAATTGCAATGATTTCGAATGCTTCTAAGAATTTTAACATATTTTCGGAAAAAAAGTGCAGATTACTTTACCGTTTTATTTGAAGGAAAGACTTACCTCAATGTGAAAACAATACAACAAACCATGTGTATTTGTGAACCCAACCTACATTTCCACTTGCGTGTTGTAGTTTTCAAAATAATATTTGTGCACCTCCTCTAAGGCAAACTACATATAAATGTTATACTGTTAAGGCTATTAATCGTAGGCTATGCTTTGAAGAAAGCAGTTATAAGTATACACATAAGAGACATTATGAGTAATCTTTCCAGTCGCTGATGAATGTTGACCGACCGCTAACGAACTTATTTGTCCCTCTCTGCCTTCGGCTTCGACAGAAGCTCTGACAGCCGTAGCAGCTGGTAGTATAGGCAGACAATATTGCCGGAAAAGACAAGGGAGACTGCCTATACTACCAACGACCACGGCTGTAGTATCCGCATACCTGAAATCTGTAAAGGCAACTTTTGAAGAAACCTAAACGTATCATTGCGTAAGCCATACACTGAGATGACCACCGATAGGATTAACATTTTGAGGATTAACTATCAGGCACTCACAGTCCGCAAAACACTTGGCCGGGATTTCAGCTAATTTTTATGCTGAAAATATTAAAAGAAGGTATAATTAAATTACTAGCATCTGGCATGTCATTGTTAGTGACAGATCTAGAGTGCAGTACGAGCACAGCTTTGAGTGCCTGTGATGTATCACAGTGAAGAATGTTCTCATTGGCCTGATCGTCCTCACTCCATCTTCCCTCTTTGAGACATTTGTTGGCTGTCCGGGCCTACCAGTCAACTGAGTATGAGATTCGCCACGACGTAATGGCTTAAATCTAAGGCTTGTCACACGTCCGTAGGGAACTAATCAAGCCAGGATTCAAGTTGGCCCTGGATACCCTCCAGTACAAGTGTCTAGAGGAGAGTGAAAGTACAGCCACTACTAAAATGGACCATCAGCTCAAATAGCTGAACAAATCGGTGTCCCTTTGACCACTTTTTATTGCGGTCCCTTGCCTATGGCATGACATTCAGGAAAGGAAGAAAAATTAGCAAACAGACTGTACTGAAGACAAAATCACTGAAGATTATCATGCATCTACTAGCAGCCCCATGATTTACATAGAAGGACTGCTCAGAGAAGCTGCTCTAGTAAGAGAATTTACCAACTGCAGTCCACTGTGTTTTGGTGGTTCTGTTATAGGAGGACTAAATGTTCAGATGAAATAATGCCCAGGCCCACCCCTCACTTAGATTAAACCCGTGACAAATAGACAAAAAGCACCTACGTTAAAAAAATTCCCAACAGTCTGCTTGTCCGTGTCGTTATAAAAATATGACTTTTTCCGACTGATACGTTTACCGTTTAACTATTCCATCCGATGGGGTACATGAAAATTATCGATAGCCTTTTAAAGTCCATGTTGCGATTTTATTTTGTAGAGGGACACCTATCGACTCAGCTTGCGCTATCGGACACTGGAGGATACTGAGGAGAAAGTTCTTGAAATACCAATCCCCAAGTCCACGACAAACTGGCGAATCGGAATTCTGATCAGGGAGAACAGCGTAAGTATTGCTAGTTATTTGACTTTATTTCTTAGCCTTACAATGGATAATAACGAAGTGGAGAGCTTTCCAACGCAGAATTAGTCGGGATTGCTTGCATAGCTCCCAGCACCACATGAAGACATAAGTCGACAGTAGGAGCTTTAAGCTGAGGGTTACCGTTAGGGTTGTAGTTAGGTTGACTAAAAGTTAATGTTTGGGTCAGGATTTTTAATATTTGTTTGTGCATGCAATGCCGCACTTCAACAAACCATCGTCCCTGCGGCCCGGTGTACGCTGGCAGTTTGATTGGATATGACTCTCTGTTGGTGTATGCGCTTGCGCTCCCTTTGGGTTTACAGGCCGCATACATGGTTGTCCGGTTAATTGTACCTTCTCCCTCTGAGCCAGAGGAGTGAATACCGGCTGCTGGCGCCTAGCAAAGCAACAGGCGGCATGCTGGCGGCGGTGGCTGTCACGCCCCGTTTGTGTAGTCGCAAGGACCACTCGGCTAGTCGCTCCGTGATTATCTTGCAAAGCTGACCGTTCTGAGCGTAGTAGCACACTTAATGGTGGACTTGACCGCACCGGCC